AGGGCCAGGGTTTGGGGGTGGGATGGCAGGGGTAGGGGAACGGTTGGGCTGGGGGATCTGAAAGGGCTTTTCCAACCTCAACGATTCTGTGATTCTATTTGGAGGATTGCAGATGGATATGATGCTGCAGCTTTATGGACACAGCTACCACCTTTTGGCTGGATCAAACCTAGAGGCATGTCAGTACTTGGGAGCTGTGAAGAGAAAGGCCCTGGTACCCCACATCTTTTGCTTGCCTTGCATTATTCAAGCGCTTCTTTGCAGTCCTGGCTTCCCCCCCACCCAGCAGTGTGGGGTGTGAGCTGATAAGCACTTCACAGATGTGTCAGTCAGGCTTGTGTCCTCCGTTTGGTGGTGTTGTAATCTGGGTGGTTTGTTCCCCGCTCTACCCCCAGTACTAATTATACAGGAATGTAGCTTAAAAAATGGTACAGTAAATCAGAAATAGCAAGATAGTTGCTAGAAGAATGGATTCTTCCTTTCTATTGCCATGCAGGGATATTCCTTTGATATATTCTTTCTTCCTTGTGAAAAAATACCTTCCTATAGCCTGGGTTGTTTGCTTGGAAGCAATTAAAAAAAAAAAAATTAAAAAATCAAGATTACTGAAAGCGTAGTGGTAACTTAAGACACAGGAGTCCATCCAGACTCGCAGCTGGAATCTGAACATATAGCCCTCTAGCTGCCAATGAGCTGACATTTAGCATGGAGGGCTTTTAATTGCAGATGTCTTCTATACATTTTCCCCTGCCATCTGTAACCGAGGCTCTGTGGCTTGTTCAGAGGCCAGAGCGTGGGAGACGATCCCTGCCATGAAACAGCAGTGCTGTGTCCATGGTGTCGTGAAGCGGTAAAGATGTTCTAATACAAATTGTTCAGCAAATGTCATTGCTCTTGGCTTCGTAATTGAAATTTTTGGGGCTGTTCTTGTTTTGTTTGGGAGTTTTGTTCATTTCTCTCCAGCATGAGATTTATGTGTTTGTCGACAAATGCAATAAGAGACTCCACAAAATCATCAACAGTAATTATTTACTTGTTTCACCAGGTAGTCTTGCTGATCACCTCTAGCAATCTGCAGGAAACACGTGAAATAGGAAACTCATCCTTGCTGCAGGGGCAGATTAAAAACCTGCTTCCCAACCGCTGTGTTGAAGATTGTTCCCCTAATGACTGTCATTGTTTGAAAGCTGCAGTGAACCACAGTTGTCAAGATATTAATGAGAGATTAAACCATTTTCTCCTGAAGCGGCCCCTGCCCCACTAGGTGTTGCTGGGACTCCACCTAATGGCAATTAATAACATTATTATGGTTGAGCTGGGGCAGGGCTGGCTGTTGATGAAGGCATGCCGAGCCATCCTGTGCCAGTTCCTCTGGCTGCTTTTAAATAGTAATTTATCTCTTTAATCCACGCAGGTAATTGAAATGAAGACCGAAGTGACTTCGGACCATGAAGACTTCGCATACAACAGTCTGAAGGTGAGTGAGGAGCTCCTACTTAGTGCTGTAACCTATTGCATGGCTCCAACAGCCCAAACAAATTGCCTGAAGGTGGTAATAACCCATGACCCCCTGTAATCAGTTCTGACTATTAGAGATAACGGTTTGAAAGCTGTAGCTCTTCATCAGCTCCTGAGTCTGGCTCGCAGATGTTTCTCTCTGAGGCAACATCTGTTCTGCTCTGATCTACCTGTTGGGATCATCCACAGCGGTGACAAGCCCACTTATGGTAAAAGGTGCTTTTTTCCCCATATTCCCACTGGGAATTTTGTGGGTTTCCTTTGACGTGACACTGCAGGGCTCAGCAGTTTGCTCTGCAGTAGGTGTGAATTCTTGCGGCTGAAGCCCAGCATGTGTCTTGTTCCAGGCTCTAACTGCTACATGTCTGCTTTCCTTGCATTCCCAAGGTGCCAATCAAGTCAAACCCAAATAAATCTGCAGCATGGATTGTAGTAATAGCCTTCATCTCCCAGCAGCAGTGCTGGTTGACCATAGTCATCTTGTGTCTTCCCAGCTGTTACCCTACCCTGCCATTCCTCTTGTCCCGAAGTTCTAAATCCTTACAGTTCTGCCTCCATCATTTTCTCCCTATGACACATAGAGTAACTGAAGCTTGCTGAGCTCCTATTGCTGCTTGTGTGGGTTGTGTCCTTCTGCTCTAACTGTACCCAAATACTTCAGGTCTTGACTGGTAGGCCAATTCTTATGTTCTGCTCATCCTCAGAAAACCAGTTTCTAGGAAAGGCTTTGTAAGGGATTTATATATTTTATTTTTTGTAGTGCAGGCCGACACTTCTCCCGGTCCCCTTAACAAACACTGCAGTACAACTGAGAAATCCAGAGGAACGTATGTTACCCAGGATAACACCATACTAAACCATCTGATGGTAGTAATACTGATTTTTTTCTGTCTGCATCATCTCTTCAGAAGGATGCAAAAAAAGCAGAAATTAGAGATGGAAAAGATGTATGTTCAACCCTCACTAAGAGCATACCTCTAGCAGTAGCTTTTTCTGGCACTTGGTCCATCTAATTTTTAGTCTCTAAGCACGGTATTTGTACTGCGCTTGCTAGATGTGCTGTTTGTGATTGAGGGAAACCCTGCTGAGTTTCATCAGTACCTCTGCACAGCCCATTGGAGTAGAAGCATGGCAGGAGCTTTAAGATCATTGCCCAAGTGTCTTCCAGTTGGTTAAACATGGTTATGGAAGTTTTAAGTTTCTTGACCTTGTGAAGCAAAATGAAGTTGGAATTTGGAAGGGAAAAACCCAGCAGATGAGAACCACTGCCTTCTTAAACAGCTTCTGCAGCTCTGACTTCCATGTGAGTTCACAAATTGTGTTTTCTTCAAGTTTTAACCCAGGAAGTGGAAATATTAATTTTGGATTTTCCTACTTTCTACCTTCTTAACATACCTAACAAACTTTAATAACTCTCTTATTAATACCATTGCATAGGAATAGGTAGCATGTGTTGCAAAAAAGCAGGCTTCTTTAGCCTAAAACAGGTGGAAAATGAACTTCCAAGGATACACACCTCAGAGTTTTTAGTGGCGTTGCACTGCAAGAGGTTCTCTTTAACCATCTCCAGCGCAAGGTTCTTGCTGGAGTTGCAAGGAAATGAGCTGGGAACAAGGAACAACCAGGTCTACAAGGTTGCTTTAACGCCGTGCAGACCTGCACAGACCAGCTGTAGCACGTGATATTGTGGGTACTGGCATGTTGGGTGACTGTCAGTCTAGGAAGAGCTGAGATCGCTGTGAAAAGCAAGGAGGAATTGCTTCAAATGCCATAGCGAGAGGCAACCCTTACTCCTAAAGGAAAGGATTTTGCATCCCTATAGGTGGGTTGGCCTGAGAGAAACCACTGAAAGAGAGAAATAAATACACCTCATTGGTGTTTTCCCCACTTCTAACTGTAGGACAGTGCCTGAAGTCTCCATCTGCAAGGAAAGAGAAAAAAAGTTCCACGTGCTGCTTTTCCCTCCTTCCCCCATGGCAGCTGCTGCTGTGACTATAACAAAGCTCTTCCTCTCTTCTCTCTATTTCTCCCGCTAATTTGTATCTCAAATATTTATGCTATCTCTGGCTCCTTCAGGAGTTGTGTAATTAGATTTATTTTTCCTTTTTGCCAGCTTAAAAAGTCTTTATCTTGGGGAACTAGGCTGAGGTGTCTAAATGCTTACACATAGCAAACTCTTCCTGTGGATGCTCTTGAATGGTCCATGAGATACCAGCTTATGGAGGAGGAAGGGCTCTTGGCTTTGATACACCACTGATGCACTCTCTTTTGGAAACTGAGACTCCTTAGCCAGTTTAGAAAGGTTTCAGAAAGTTTTCAAAAGGTGGCTGCAGTGTCTTTTCAGAAACTGGGGTATTTCCCCAAAATGAACATGAATTTTCAATGAGGTGTGAAGGCTGTTACTGGTGCAGCTGAACGGCTCATCGTGGTGTAGGAGTGTTGCACTGGGTGGAGGAAGAGATGTTTGGGTAAGGTCATGAATGACCCAGGGTATGGTTCAGATAAATATGACTAGAAATATTTAAATACAATAAACAGTACGAATGTAAATATATTTATAAGTATATGCATTGTTTTAAAATAATGCATACAAGTCTCAGTTTGGGTAGAGGTAATACATGTGGTTATTGCTGAAGAGCAGGTCTTGTTGGGGGTTAAGGATGTTTCTGCATCTTGTTCCGTACTTTGTGACCTGAGTCTTCGCTGCCTTCTGTTCACTTTTGGGTCCCATTCAAGATCTTTCTGACATGCACAGCCCCTTGAACGACACAATACAAGGCGCGGGTGTTAGTGCAGGCTTGGGTTTTGCAACCAGCACGAGGTCTGCTACTTCATATGTGTCTGCTGTCATCCAACTTTGTGTCGTGGTGTCATTGTCCTGGACCGGCACGGCACCCACAATGGCAGGGATTTGTTTGGGATTAGCTTTTGGTGGGGAGCCTGTTCTCAGCGCAGATTTTGATGGAGGGAAGCGAGTGAGGCACAATCCTTCCTTAGAAAGGCTCATTTGATTATGGGTTGGTTATTGGGGAAAATCTTTTTAGTTGGGGAAAATCTTTTTAGTAGGGCCAGCAGTGACAAGACAAGGGGTAATGGTTTTAAACTAAACCAGGGTAGGTTTAGACTAGATATAAGGAAGAAGTTCTTTACAATGAGGGTGGTGAAACACTGGCACAGGTTGCCCAGAGAGGTAGTGGAGGCCCCATCCCTGGAAGCATTCAAGGCCAGGTTGGATGGGGCTCTGAGCAGCCTGATCTAGTTAGTGGTGTCCCTGCTCCTGCAGGGGGGTTGGACTAGATGACCTCTAGGGGTCCCTTCCAACCCAAAACATTCTATGATTCTATGATTCTATGATTTCTTTTTGTAACGCTGCAAAGAAATGAGAGCAAGTTGGGCTAACGCTGATATATTTACAGCACACATCAATTATGTGTCCTTAGTAATGGATAAATAGAGTTTTCAGTAGATGCTGTCCCAAAATATGCCCAGCCAGGTGTTTGGTTAGCCATGACGCAGGGCTGGAAGGATGTGAAGCAACATCTCCCTGGTGGGGAGGTCCTGGAGTCATTCCTGTACAACAAAAAGTTCCCCAGTGAAAAATGTATTTTCCAGCTTGTTTTTTCAGGCTGGGAAAGTGGGAGTGGGAATGAAAACACCAAGGAGCCCTTGCCCTGACTTTGTGTTCCTAGCAGGAGCACAACGCGCAGTTTGATCTCTCACTCTTCACAGAACTGGGAGGTTTGTTTCATCCCTTAGACTTGGAAGCTCATTATGAAATGAGCTTCTAGAAGATTTTCTTTTCTTTTCCTACTGAGTACCAGAAATAGAAGAGAGGGCAGATTCCTGGCATGGCAGTGCTAACCTCTGATTTACGCAGGCTCGTACCTTCGCCCAGCACTGCTATACAAGCCCCTTCCTAAGAAGTGAGGCTGTTTCCATCACTGTTAGCGCTTGGGTACCCCTTTCACACCTCCATAAAGCTGTACACATGGGACAAGTGTGAGTTCAAGTTCAGGATGTTCTGACTGTGGAACTTGTCAAAGAAATCAGCACTATTGGACTACGCAGAAGAAAGAGCGTTTCTCACGGCGCAGGTAGAAATCTAGAGGTAGAAAAATAAAACGGTCTGAATGCAGAAATTTCTACATTCAGACCATTTTATTTTAGTTTGTTCTGCCATCACTGATGCTGGTGCAAAAAGGGTGTACAGATGATAGGTGTCTCGCCCGTGTCTATAGATATTTTAACATTGCTCCATGCCCAACATCTACCAAGAAAGGAGTAGGGAATTAATTTAATTGTAAACTTTGAAAGGAGTCTGGGGCATGAGCTCTTGGAGCAGGGTTGTTGGTTGTAACTTTCCTGATCTTCCTGGCTTTGTTTCTAACCAGAGCACAGCTTGGTACGGCCAGTCCCTGGTGCTAGCAGTGTAGCTGACCCATCCAAAAAAAAAGGGGGGGGTGGGGAGAAAAGGAGAGGAAAAAAAAAAAAAAAAAGGAGGAAAAAAAGGGGGGGGGAGAGAAAAGCAGGGATCTTATCCAGCAAATAACAAAAATCACAGAAGAACCATTTGTGTAGAAAAGCACTTAACTGTGTTCTTCTTACCCTTCGCCTGTCTATCTGAGCATAATCAGAAAAGAGTGGGAGGCGAGTCGATGCTTTAGCCACACAGCAAGAAGAGTTAAACCCAGTTTGGTATCAATTCCCTGCCGCGTGCACGCTTCTCAAACCCTTGTTTTAAAAAAAAAAAACAAACAAACAACAGTTATAGAAAAGCCAGGGTCTCATACACTCCTCCTGCTGAGCTGTGGAAAATGTGG